AAGCCTGAGCTCCAGGAACGGCTCCACTCAGAGAGGGCCCGAGCAAAGACGGAATTTGCAAGTCTTGGAAGCTGGAAGTCGCAACGGTGGACAGGAGCGACGGCTGGAAGCTCTGGCTCGGGGGAGCTGCTGGCCAAGAACGACCGAGATCGCTGGGCTCCTGCGGAGCCCGAAACATCGCCTCGGGATATCGGGGACATCTGTGTCTCACAAACTTCCAGTCTTGCAAGAGGGCTTTCTGCCGCGCAGCCGCCTGAGAACTCAACATCGCAGCTGGCATTCTCGCCATGAGAGCCTCAAAGGAAGCGCATTCATGGTCATGACCAGATTAAAGAAGCTGAGACACGGCGTAGCAGGCGCGCTTGCACGGGATTCACTTCCAAATAACCGCATTCCTCACTTGTGCCTGCTTCTGCCCCTTCGAGCTTTGCTTGGCTTCTGGTTTGGGGTTGCCGGGGTTGATCGGCCAGTCGGCTTGCAATGCACGACTTGTCGCTTCAGGTCCAAGGTCTCGAATCGGATTCACTCGTCAAGGCCTTCGGCTGTTTTCAATCCTTAGGGTGTCGTCTCCTTAGGCTTCCGGTGCAGGATTTCCCGGTGGGCTCATTCCTTCGGCGTTCCTGTTGGGTTGCGAGGCAGCAGGGCTCCAGTTTATTATCGGCTTTCCTGTCGGTGTCACTCCTTTCGGGTCATGCGTAAAACATGCAGTTCAGGAACGATAGCCTAGCTTGTATGTGGGCAAGACACTTTAACAAAACACGCGATGGAAACCAACAGAAGCATAGCTATGATGCATTTGTTATACATTGGCAGTAACAGCTTGTCATCACATTCTTATCATCACATTAGAGTTACTTACAACGCTGAACCCCAAGCCATGAACCAAATTCGACAAGCAATCCCTTGCCCATTTAGGTGTATGGCACCTGGGATGGTGCACCTACTGGGATCCCACGCCGGGTCTGGCCGCGCGTTTGCCTGAGCGATCGCAATCCTCTGCTCCGCCTCCAACTGAGACAGCGCCGCCTTCAAAGTCTCGAGCTCTTCGAGACGACGGAAAATCTCACGTCCCGATTCTGGACTGGTCGGGCTTGCATGGCTTGCAACCGGAACTGGTGGCGCCTTGGCCTCACAAGCACTCCGCAAGCAAGAGACAAGACATGACAAGACGTGACAGCTCAAGGCCGCCAAGATGCTTGACAAAGTCCTGGGGGTCCACGCAAGCTCAAGCCATCCAAGCCCAAATCCAGCTCGGAATTCTCGTCGTCCGACCAGTTAGAGAAGACTCCTCGACATCGTCGACTCGCGTCTGTACTGCCTTGGCTGACGGACTCGAGCGTTTCCTCCCTCTTCACCGCCTTCACGATCTTCGAATCCTTGGACTTGACGAATCGCGGCACTGGAGGGCTGTCAGGAGGGTAGCCTGGGCTGAGACTCTCGACATCGAAGGCCGTCGTGTTCATCGTACAGACAGCGGATGGATGCGGGATGCCTAGAACGATCCAAACAAACGGCTGCAGATCCGATCGTGTCAGACATGTCAGAAATATGATCTGGCCCATTCTCATGAGGGACAGCAGAGCATCTGCATCTCAGCACAGCTTGTCAGTAGCCCGAATAAGAAGCCAAGGTGCTCGAGGGCATCTGCTTGGATCTCTTGGGTAAACTTGTACTGTTCACCTCGAACCGGATCGTAACCACGCCCATGAGTACACCCTCACGTGCTCGCGGCCACTCTGAGTCTTGTTTTTCAGGGCTGGACTAAGGCGCCAAAGCCCAGCTTTGATTGCAACAGACAGCATTGGAGGCGTGGGCTAAGTGTCAGATTTTAGTCTCCAGCAATACGCCCGGTTCTTGGTCAGCGTTGCCGTGGCCTCGCCCCCAGCCTCGGGGGACTGCAGAGCTACCGAATCATCTGAAGAAACGTGAGGTCGGATTCGATATCTTCTACACGCGAACATGTAGCTACGTGTGTCAAGAGTCGAGATAGAATTAAGCTGCGCAACACCCAGCCTGACAATGCACACTGCACAACCGAACACGCTTTGGCCGCAGCTTCATTGTTGATCTTCTTGACTGCCTAACGAGTTCGTGGGCAGACTGCAAAGCAAGGGAATCGGCTTTGATTTGCCTGGTATAAACCATGACGAAGCTGACCAACGCCGTGACTCTGCTAGGAAGTATGCGACAGTCTCATAAGCAACTGGCAGTGCAACCCGAATTATGGTACTGTAGCAGGCTTCCTGCTCCAATAAGCGACTTGACTCCCAATATAACGAAGCTCCACAGCCCGAACCTGCTCTGCTTTGAGCACCTCTGTCGCGAACGTCACCTGTGATCCAGTCTCCCACGTCGAGCCCTGCTGCCGGTCACATGTGCAAAAAAGCTGCACTGCCTTCTTCTTCTGCTGCTCCAAGCGTGCTATGTGGATGTGCTGCTCTTGCACCTGCCGGTGGCATGCATGGGGAAGCTCTCTTCTAGTCAGAGTGGGACGGGGGTGCTGGGAGGCGGAACCTCTTGCAATGAGCCTAGGGCGATGCAAAGTGGATGTGAACACCTCACCCATCTACGATCAAGATGCTATCCTTCTTGCAGTAACTTGTGCCACCTTATTCTCGTTGGCTGCAATTTGTGACATCATCGGGTGCGATCCTCGCCTTCCTCGACATTCATTCATTCCCCCAATCCAAACTGAGCGGGGATCGCGATTGGAATCACTAGCTCGTATCTGACAACAGGCATATCGTCGCCCATGGTCCGCAAGAGTACGACAGATACATGTACAGCAGAAGCAGTGGCAAATTAGCGTCACCTTCAGGGAAGGGGTTAAATGCTGAAGTACATCGTCACCTGGCACCGAGACGAAAAGAGGGCCTTGTTGGGCGTACTGGTCCCTGGCCTGGGTCTCTCTAATGGCATCCTCAAAATCGTCCGGCAGGTGCACGGTGCGCAGCTGGAAGAAAGGCACCTGCGAATCTGCACACTCAACCACTACTAAACTACTAAACCATCTGCGATGCACCGAGGATGGAGAGGGGAGAGGCAGGAAGGGTGACCAGCAGAGGAAGGAGCATTGTAGAGTAGAGAGTCAATGTCTGAGGCGAGAAATGCTTCTCTAATTTGGGTAAGAATGCTTTTTTGTTTTGCTCGGTGCGCTTTTTTTGTAACTTACGCTTCGTTGACAACGAAGCGTAAGTTACAAAGCGGGCCCACCAAAAAAACACAACACGGGGCACGTTGGTTTTGCTCTGTACGCAGCGGGCCGAGCAAAAAAACTGGAGTTTTTAGCTCGGTACGCGTTCTATTTTTCAAGTCTATAATAAGGATTCTACACGGATTACGCGGCGGGCTGAGCAACAAAAACAAACACGGGGCGTGTTTCCTTTTTGCTCCGTACGCGGCAGGCCGGACAAAATACAGACAACACAGGGGTGCGTTCTGTGGGACTTTGACAAGATCCTATTAGGATTCTACTGATCGAAATCTGAGGGTTTTGCACGAGTTCTACGGATTCAAAAAGGCTTTGATTAGGTTTCTAACAAGACTCTTATAAGATTCTGATGTTTCGAGTAGGATTTTAGTAGGTTTGTAAGGCGCGTTTTTGTTCCGTACACGGCGGGCCGAGCAAAAAAAACACAGGGGGTGCCTTCGGTACTCGGTGGGCCCTAATTGGATTCTACGAAATTATGAGATTCAAATGGGGTTCTATTTTTGAAATCTAAGGATTCTACACGGATGACGCGGCGGGTTAACTGACAAAAAACAAACACGGGCCGTGTTTGTTGTTGCTGCGTACGCGGCGGGCCGAACAAAAAAAACACGGGAGTGCGTTTTTCTTCGGGACTCTAATAATCATGTTAAAGCGTGCTGTCCTGTATGCTTCCTTCTTTTCGTATGTGTTTCTACCTTCATTTAGGGCTTCCTTCTCTCCTTCCCTCTTTCCTTCCTTCCTTGCTTCCTTCCTTCCTTCTTTCCTTCCTTCATTCCTTCCTTGTCCTTCCTTCCTTCCTTCCTCGTTTTTGTTCCTTCCTTCTGTTTCCCTTTTTCCTCCCTTCCGTTCTTCCCTCCTTCCTTCCTTCCTTCCTTCCTTCCTTCCTTCCTTCCCTTCTGTCTTTCATAAAATATGTATATATATCTATATATGTATATTCATATGTATACATATATGAAGATATATATGTTACATGAATATATACATTCATTCATTCATTCATTCATTCATTCATTCATTCATTCATTCATTCATTGATTCATTGATTCATTCATTGATTCATTCATTCATTCATACCTTGGCATCATCATCCTCGTCGTCTTCATTGTCATCGCTATCATCTGGTAGTGAAGGTTTTGGCTCGATGCCGCACGGGACCAGAGGACCAGCACACCGAAGCCAATTCAGATTCTCTAATAGTGTTTAGTATGCTGATAGGATTCTATTAGATTTCTGGGATTCTTGACATACGATTTCTGGTCGCGGAAGCTGGGAACAGCTTTTTGTTCGGTACGCGGCGGGCCGAGCAAAACAACAACAAGGAGCGCCTTCTTTTGTTCGGTACACGGCGGGCCGAGCAACAAAACAAAATCTTGTTCTAGAGCGGGCCGAGCAAAAAAAACACTTCTTCCATCTACCTTGCCTGAGTACACTACAGCACAACGACTCAGATGCCACATTATCACGTTTGAGCAACTAGCCCAACTGATGGATTGCTGGCGTCTGCATATCTGTAACACGGCTCCAATATGCTCCAATCGAAGTGCAGCGGCTGATTCTACAGCTGCACTCCCAAGGCCTCTGCAAACGCGTGCTTTCGGAAATGCTCCTGGGGAGCCGTGGTGCTCTGGTGTGCTGTAGTCCGCAGATTGCAGCATGATCCCTCAATCGAGAAACTTTGGGCCGCAGCCGCTCAGCCGCTCAAGCATGCTAGCAACATACCACTGTGCGCGTGGATCGGGGCTGGACTCGATTTCCCCTGTGCTTGCCGTGTCGCATCAAGCTTTCGATGCATCTCTGTGCTCACGTAGGTACGATTCCTGACGCAATGGAGCTTGGAGACTACGCAAGCAGCATGGCCATGCAGGCTGTGCCTGAAGAAGAAGTGCGCATTGTGATGCGTCGTGGCTGTCGACAGCTGCTCCATGGCCATCCGCGTGAAGGTCGTCTCGTAGTGGTCGTGGCCAAGAGTTGCCCACCTGCCAAAGTATGCAAGAGTGACCTTGCCACTTGAGGAACGCTTTCCTCTAGGCCCCGGACAAATTGTATAGCTGGTTGAAGATCAGCTTGTACTGGAAAGACACTTCCTTGGACACAGGAGCGGCTGCCGAACAAAAGGACTCTGGCATCGCGGGAATTGAAGGCTGATCGCCTCTAACACGGAGACGAAAGATTTGTCCTCTCAGTCCTCGCGCCCTTGTGCTCATAGTACAAAACAGAAACCGGTGAGAGCTCAAAAAACGCTTCAGGACCAGAACACGCATGCTTCCGATATATGAGAAACAACATGACATGAATGACAACATCGGGAAGCGAGCGCTTGATGTCGCAATGTGCAACAGGCAAAAACCCATCGGTCAAGAACCGTCAAGTTGCAATCGCATGCGTTGCTTCATTCTGCAACTGACGGAATTCGGAGAAACCCCAGTCAGATATGTTCCGAGTCTCCAAGTGAACGGTGAGGCCGTCCTTCGTCCGGCTCTGTAACGCCGGACCCTGGAGGCCCTCTGCCCAATCGTCGATGAAGCTGATGGACTGCACCTGGTTTTCAACCAAACTACCATCCCCTAGCCAGTCCGTCGGATCGCGCCATGGACTCGAAAAGTCTTGGGTATGCGTCCCCGATGAAATGGTGGCGGGCAGGTCGCTGTTCGAGGAAACTTGATGAACCGGTTCGTGACGCCGAGATAGTATCCTTGAGAAGGAAGGGCAGAGGCAACTGGGTTACACTGCTGGGGCCTCTGGCTGGCAGTCAGAAGCTACCTGTCCTGCACAAATGAAGCGCTGCTCTCTTTTGCTCGATGCTTCTAGAGTTGCGAGAAGACTTAGCTGTTAGAGCTGGTAATCACCTTCCGGAACACGCAAAAAGATTAGACGGGGGTGGTCGCCGGCAATACGCATCTACAGCTGAAATTTGTTGTGTTCTCGACCGATTCCACTGGAGACGGGCAGCTGCCAGGCTTGTAGGGCTCCTTTCCAGGAAGTCGCTTTGGCACTGCTAAGTTTAAGTGATGACCCCGATCACCCGATCAAGCGAGGCCCTCTCTATTGAACGCCAACCTAAGTCGGTGGATTCTTAGCGAGCTAGGCCTGCAAGTACCATGACACATTCAGAAAATCAGAATATCCATCTTCATCTTCATGCCCCTTGCCCCGATGCAACAAGAACGCATGCGCTTCTACACAGCCTATGATCTGACATGCAGCCACTCCTTCTCAACGCTCTCGCTAAGGAAGCTGTAGTTAAGCCCGATTTGCTGATACCTGGCAACATAATCACGGGGTTGAACACATTCTGGCGCCCACCCTAAAGTTTCTCGCGAGCAACGATGCAGCACGCAACCAATATGCTGTGTTTGATCGCCAGGCGATGTCTGGTCCCCTGGATACAGTGTGTCCGGAGCCGAACCCTCCCATCCGACGGGTTTGACCCTTGAATCTGCAATTCGTTCTAGCACGAATCTCAACTTGGGCTCTAGCTCTAAACTGTCGAAGCTGAAGATGAAAAGTAGGATCATCGTGGAGATGGCCACGACGACGACGGAAATCAGCCAACATTGCATGGCCACAGCTTCAGATCCGTGCTAACGTCAGGGGCAACAGTTTTGGTGCACACGAAAACTGCACAATAGCCGCTAGCTGACGGGGGACGAGAGATGATCGAGACAGGTCCTCCTGTGCAGCAGGCTCGTTTAGATGGGTGCCTAGAGCCGTCAGGCAATCATGTTCAACATCATTGAAAGGCCCAATTATCTTGCATCGCAAAAGTTCACCACCTACCCTTTGCCTATTCTTTTCTGACGAGCTGCCGAGTGTCGGTTTGTAAGGACAGTTGTTCATCTTGAAACTACTCCATCAAGGATCTTACTTTCCGTTGGTGCTTGCTTTCATGTACATGTGCTCACCCGGCTGCCCGGCAGCAGCGGTATTTTGATTTTCTTGAACAGCTGCCAAATCTATGGATTCACGAGCGCTTAGCTGTGCCAGGGCATGATAGCCAGACGAAACATGCGCTCAGCTAGAAAAACAAGTGGAGAGCAGGATTTTCTCTATCACGACGAGACGCAGCATCTCTGTGAAACTTCAGAATCTGGCGTGCATGTGGCAACTATATATCAAATTCGTCGAGTAGAAAAGATCGACAAACCGACGGTGACCCATGGCAGTGCCACAAGCAAACCAACGCCTCGGCATGATCTGACGACTGGGCCACACCTGCAGTCAGCAGAGTAGCAGCCACCGTTGGTGGTGATTCCTCTGGCAGCAACGCACTTTGGTCACTGCCCCAGGGCTGAACCCAGGGTGAAAGTTCATCGTCAGAATCAGAAGTAGCCTCATCAGAATCTGTGGCTTAGCGCTGCCGCTACAAGGAGCGGCTCTCACAACGATTTGCCGGCACAGCTATAGACTCCTCTGACAGGCCTAGCAATGGGACTTTTCCTGGTACCTAGGCCGCAAATTGCTCAGGAGGACTTCTTGTGAGGGATAACTGCGTTGAAGGCCTCCCGAGAGCAATGCTGCACGCAATGCACACACTACGTGCAGAGTATGCAGAAAACGCAGCCTTCTTGAACTCGGCAAAGGTGATCTCGAAATCCCGGTTCGTCGACGCCTGCGCTCCCAGCTCGCTTGAGACTTCGCCGTAAAGGCGTCAGCAGGAGCCACTTCCAATGATTCGGAACCGCAGCCGAAGCGGATCGAAGCGGGCGATGTTTGCAGACAAGCATCATAAGGATCATAGATGAGCCGCCGCTGCTTCAGATACTTCTTGTTGGAGCCGCACTTAGCCCAATGTCAGGAACGCATCGAAGTGCTGTGTTGTTGGGTTCATGAACTCATCATTACTGCAAGGCCTCGTTACTGAATACCAGCCCACCAATCATGCAGCGAAAGCCTACCAACAAAAAAGGCCGCAGTCGTTACTAGTCGACATCAGTCAGCCAAACCCCAAGCACGACGCCCCGTGCCCCGGAAAGCAGAGCTATTTCAAACGCCAGGCGTCATAGTAGACCTTTTCATGGGTGAGCCAACAGGAAATGTCTCCTTCCAAGAAGGTGATATTCGAAGTCTATCGGCGACCTGGAAAGATATGATGGTAGCAGCAACTGAAGGACGAGAGGGGCAGTCCTTTCGGAAAGCCATCCATGAACTCCGGAATCTCCACCTCGGCTCTCGGCAGAATCGGGCTGCTGTGTGGCTGACACTTCGATGCGGCCCGAGGACCCTGCGCGCTTTAGAACAGCAAAACTACCATAAGAGACCACTTGTTGCACAAGAATCGAAATCCTCCGAACTACTCCACGTCACCAGGCCACAGAGGGATCTTCGGCTTGTCTCCTCGGCCACTTACACACAGCCACGGGCCACGATGCATACAAAGTCTACGGCGGATTCGGACCTCGTTCCATAATGTTTCACTAACACGTCCTTCGCAAAATACTCAATAAGCCAGCAGTTGTTCGAGCTTGAGAGTCTGCGCATCGAGGTGATGTGGATTGCTCTTGAACCCACGAAATGTGTTCAACACGCACCTCGAAGCTTGACCATTCCCATGCCAACTGCCACCATGCGACGCCTTTGCTTCAGCAATAATTTCCTCTTGCTCCTGGCGATGACTTGAACTGGCACTTGCACGCGTTTTTTCATCCACTGGGCATTTGCTTTATGTGTTTTAGCCTTTTGAATAGCAATTGCCTCCCTCCTGTGACCGGTCTGTGCTCCGGCTTTAATTCTGGCTTCTATGGCTCTCGGCATTTAAAGTTTCGGCATTCGGGTCCCCGCTTGTTGTGAGGGCTTCCCCACGGTGTTGAGGGTTTTTTTTGCATGTAATTTAGGGTCTGAGTGGTGTCACGGATTAAGGTTGTAGCGCTTCCGCGTGCATGTGGGACCTTGCGTGATATGCTTGTGCAAGCTGTGAATGCCTAGCAGAACAGTACTATAATAAAGTATGCCAAACCACACGACAGTATGGGAGGTTAAAACAATGGAGGGCCTGCTACATCGACTGTAGACACCGAATCATGGTATCCCCCACTGATCCCCACTGTACTAAAAAGACCTGCAAAGTTAAAGATCCAAGCCAAGGCTGATGGGGAACCCCACTAGCTTATTGCACCCAGTCTGTGAACTCGCATGTTCCGGTCGCACCCGCGTGAAGTTGCATAACCATGCAAGGACGAAACTCGACTGAGCAGCTGACCCTGACCTCAGGGATTGGGGGGGGGGACGCGAATTCGAACCGGGGTTTGTGCACACACACACACACACCCAAGACCCAACATCTACAACCGCCCGAAGCCCGAAGCGTGAACCTGTGACACTTTCCTCCCTCATGTGCGGCTTCGCATGGTTTCAACATCATACCTCAAATCCTTGACCCTCGAAAGGATTTTGTAGCATGGTGGGAGGACATGTGATTGTACTTGAGGTTTTGGGCCGGAGATACGGCAAAGCCATGTGGCCATCAAGACTGGCTCCTCCTCCGTCAACGGCTTCTTCTTCTTCTTTCGGGCCTTCTGGACCTCCCGATTCAGCGGATATGTGCGAACGAACGAGTCCTGCCCATGAAAAACCCTCGCGATTCGGTCGGACCGAAACTGCCAAAAGAGCAAGCGCTTCTTCAAAACACACGAAGCTCTTGTTTGCGACCCCTTGCGACTTCGCACTTGTAACAGTCCATGGAAACGAATCGGTGTGATTTGGAGTCTTTAGCGGCGCCAATCTCGCAGAGGTCTGGGGGCTGCACATCAATTTGATCAAACACTTCTTTCCTCGGATGTGCACAGCAACTTGCTTGTGACGTGGCACGACACGCAGGTACAGCTCTCACCCGTCGCAAGCAACGGAAGGTTCGGTTCAAACATCTGGGAGAATGTGGGATGTGCTGTACAAATGCCTACAGACCTACAAGTCCCTGCTCCTGCAGCCGTTGCACACAAAGCTTATCATGATATAGTAAGGTTGTTGCTCAAAACCCATTCTGGAGAATTTGGAAAAGGCAATGTTCTGGACCTGCGAAGTACAACTGCTACAAGCTACAGGCTGTGAACACAGCCGAAGCTTCTACTGGCGCTCCTCCCGTCGTTTAGACTGAGTATGGGAGCTTGTTGATCTCTTGACACGTGTCCGGTGTTGCAAGCATGCCAAGCTTTACCAGCTGCGGCCAGGCATCAGCATCTCGTCGGTCATATCAAAGCCGAGAGATTTGCAGCTCCTACAATCGTCGACTTCATGATTGGTATCACTTTGCCGAATCTAAAGCTTGGCTCAAAGTCACGAATTCCTTACTCGGCCCCGCATCTCAAAGAGACCGCGTAGTTTCGGCAAGATGACAGAAGCCCTTCTCAAACAGGTGGGGTGCTTTCGATGCAGTCAATGCGTGCCAAGCATCGAATGAAACTCGGTGAAGGAGATCTTCCCGCTTCCGTTTTCTTGGTGTGCAGCTGGTGCGGGGCTTGGGAGACATGTTGGCAACTGGCAACTGCCTGGAGGCCTTGAGCCCTCAGGCGTCAGAAGTCTGTCACAGGTACAGACACCAAGTCGGCACGCCCCATTTTCGCGGGCAGTGTGCAATGCCTGCAAAAATCAGCCAAGCAACCATCCATCTTTCGAAAGATGTCCTAAGATCAGATAAACCGACGCTGAGCTGCTATTGACACCTGCAGCATGATGCAACCACACATGCATCTACTCGACCTACTCTCCAGCCACGCTCTGTGCCACTGCTAGACGCCAAGCTGCCCGAAGCTTCGTGGGCTTCTCACCTCAGCCACGCACGAATTGGGGGACGAGCTTTCGCGTGGGCAGCGAAACGATCCGCACATCACCCGGTCGTCTGCCTTCCGCGGGAGGGGTGTCCTTCAGCTCCTGGATGTAGGAGACAAACTCGTCCATGGCCTTTTTGGCTCGTTGCTTAGATCAGCTTCTGAGGGCCACTGAGCTCATTGGCTCCGTCTGGTAGATCACCTAGTTGTGACCTTTTTCCTCTTGGATGTAACGTTCCCGCTTTTTCAGCAAAATGACTGGGTTGTAACTTTTTCCGGCTCCCAAAACAGCAAATCTCTGCAGAGGCTTGCAAAAACAGATATCTTAGTTGTTACTTGTTTGGGCTGTTTGGGTGTCTTTAGCCCCAAGCCACTTTTCCCGGTGCATTAACTGCTCTGGTGAATTTAGCACCATACCACAAATTTTTGTGCTGTATTTAGCCTCAAACCAGAACCGTCACACAAGATTAATCTACAGTTTTCGTCTTGGGTAGAGGGTTCTCGCTGCATTCACTCCTTAGCGTTTTCGTCTTGGCCCAAAAATACTCGCTGGATTCACTCCTAAGTATTGTCGTCTTGGGTAAAAGGTTCTGGCTGGATTTACTCTTTAGGATTTCATTTGGATTTTCGTCTTCTTGAAAAGGTTCCTGCTGGATTCACTCCTATGCAAGGTTCTCGCTGGATTCGCTCCTTAGGGTTTCCGTCTTGTGGGTGGTTGGTGGGGGTAGGTGGGATAAGTGGTTAGTGGCTAGCGGCAGTGGGCGGGGTAGGTGGTGTAGGTAGGAAAAAGTTACGCCTAAGAGAAAAAAGCTACAACTTAGCCTGCACCGCTCCGTCTGCTCCACTCCAGAATCTCTAAACCAGCTCCCTGCCGCCAAAGAGCTTCGGAAGCCGTGGCTGGACCACCCATTACTTTCTTCGTTATGACCTGGGCCTCAACAGGGTAGTCCACAATGCTGGGTCTATCCAGTTTTCACTTTCCACTTGTGCGACGCCGCAAACCTCTGGTTGGAGCAGTTTTACTGCACCTTCCAACATCAAGGTCCCGCAGGTCTTAGGCTTCTACAACTTTGCAGGTGTTTGTGAGTGTCTGTGGAGTTCAACTGGCGATGCACGGAAGCTGGTGCCTCCGACGAGCCATGGAACAACCACTTCACGAACTCTGTGTACGACACTCGGTCATCACAGTTGGTGTCCTTGGAACATCGATAGCACAACGGGCACTCATGCGCCAAGCCCGGCTTTGGGCAAGTCTAGACTGTTCCTGTCACCGGTCTTCCCGACAGCAAGGCCGACACCAACACTTGACGTGACATTTTGCTAGCTCCAGACGATGCTGCGTCGTGTGACAAATATCGTTTCTGGCCAAGACACCATGATTTTGTAGATCGTGGTGACCTTCCCACGATGTAGCAAGCGCGCTGTATCGTTTACGAATGTAAATCGAATGTTTCACTGCTTCGACAGAACTTCATTCGCCACTCGCCAAAATTCACCCAACCTGATAGGAATATCTTACACTTGACTTTCAGGCATGTACACTATGTACACTGTTGCATCCATCTGGCTTCTACAAGTGAGACGGCTGAAAATTCAAGCCGAGCAACATCTGCGCTTTTTAAGCCAATGGCACACAGCGCACGCCGCAGCTCGTCTGTGCTCAGGGTTCCTTGGAACTTTTGCAACCGGATAGGACCCACAAGCATCACCCACAAGCATCACTCGACTCGCTCGGAGACACGAAGCATGCTTTCGGAAACGTAACCATTTGGGGTTGTAAGATTCAACGCATCACGAATGGCGCTGCACGGCCGAATACCCAACGCGAGACTGGTGACTTCCCCCGTCGACGGGAAGTCATGGCTTGCGCGGCGTACTGCTGCTTACCCTGTCTGGGCTTCAGGCCATCGCAGTTGGAGTCTATGCGGTTGAACAGGGCTTGGAGGCTATCCTGGACAGAACGGTTTCGGTTCAGGTCCACGCATCGTCTGCACTCGCCGCAAAGCAGCGGCCTTCTGCGCCCATTCCTCCACGGATCCAGCACTCATCGCCTTGGAAACACTCAAGGCTCGCCTGCACTGCTCCAAGAGCCCCGGATGACTGAGGTACAGTTGAGGGACCGCTGCAAGCGCCTGGTGCTGCAAGCTGTTCCGGCCGCTCTAGCTACAGATCTGCAGCCCAATTTAGGTTCGGTGACTCATGCAGTCCAGGCAGGCCAATCTGTAGGTACAAGGCAATCCTAGCCAGTCGCTGCACTGCCATGCAAAGCCCCCCACCCGCTGATTCACGCCGCGCTCACTAGTCATTGGACGCCTCACCACGCGCAGCGCTTTTTGAATGCCAGCAGTCGTAGAGGCCGGCACGGGTGAAAAGAGGCAGAGGCCAAGCTGGCCAACGCTGCCGCATCAGCCGCAAGTCGCCGGCAGGCATGCAAGAAACGGCAAGAGCAGGCAACGCTCTCACATGGACGACCGCCAGAACTTCCACCTCAGAGTCGCATCCGCTGCACGTGCTCCGAAGGCTCTAACTCAGAGTCCCAAGCCATGATTTGGGCCCCTGTCGCTGAAGCTGCACGCTGAAGGCCTCGCCTGAAGTGAGATCTGTGCAATCCGAGTGACATAACATGCAACAGAATCCATCGGACCGAGCGTCCGCCGGCAGTGCTCGGATTAGGTTCATGTAGACACATCAACCCACAGTCGCACTTCACACCAACTGCCAAAAACGAACACAGCCTGTGAACAAATCGCGAGAAAAGCCTTTTATAGGACGAAGCGTACAGCAAACTGCAGCTGAGCTGACATCCGTGATCACTCGGCCATTCGCCGGTGGCATCGCAGTTTCGATGACTTTCGATGATTGCTCCTTGAGGGAGTTGAAGTCAGTGTTAACTGTTGGATGATCTTCCAAGCAAGATCACTTCCATCAACTCTTTACAGAAAGCCGGAACCACCGGCTAAACCGCACCTTTATCAAGCTTCCT